CTTTGAGCGTCAACCACTGCGTATTGTTAGCCAACCAACTGGAATCTGAAAAGAGCAATCAAATCCAAGTGAGAACCTTTTACTTCAGGGTTGTTTTTTTTTCGTTTTTTTACTGTGGTCTTGAACTTTAATTCAGCTGATGAACAGCAAGTTTAAGTTCAAATATCATTAATAAATACTGCAGGTTTTTTCCTCTCTTTCTCTTGTTTCTTCTTTCCATGTTAAAGCTCAATTTGCAGCTTGGTTATTGTTTAGCGGTGTTAACATTTTATTTACGTATCTGAAATGAAATAGATTTAGATATCCTTCCATTATCTGACCCGCTTGTCCCGAGTGAGGTCGCAAACAACCATTCACACACACTCACACCTAAGGAGAATTTAGAGAAGCCAATTAACCTAACAGTCATGTTTTTGGACTGTGGGAGGAAGCCGGAGTACTCGGAGAGAACCCACACATGCTCAGGGAGAACATGCATACTCCATGGAGAAAGACCCCGGGCCGGGAATCGAACCCAGAACCTTCTTGCCACAAGGCTGCAATGCTATCCACCTCACTACTGAACATTAGATATATTGAAATTGAATTAAGTTAGATCAAATATATTGCTTGAATTTTATTAAGAGGTTTTATTTAAACCTAGTCCATGTAAACTTTCTTGTCAGTCTTTGCATGTTCTCCGCTGCATATGTGGGTTTTTGCTTCGTTAGGAGAAATGGTAATTCTAGATGGTTGTTATTTGTGTGTAAGTGCCAGTACCTGTCTTTCATGTGCCTGTTATGGACTGGTGACTTGTGCTCTGCCTTCCTTTGCCTTTACCTGGAAAGGCCGCACTCCTCACCCCTCCATCCCTGATAACCCTGAAAAGGATTAAAACAATACAGAAGATGATGAAGAACAATAATATGCAAATTAATTATATAACATTTGTGCTTCTGGATAAAGCTGAGCATTTCTGTTGTTATTACCTCCACCAAGAAGGTTGTTTTTAGGAGAGTTTTTGCATGTGTGTGTGTGTGTGTGTGTGTGTGTGTCTGTCTGTCTGTCTGTCTTTCTTTCTGTCTTCTGTGTACAGGACAACTTGAAAAGTTATGGGTGGATTTTAATGAAATTTTCATTAGAGGTGCCATTCATGCCAAGGAACAATCAATTTAGTTTTGGTGACGAGCCAGATCATAATCTCAGTACAGAACTTTTTTAAAGTATTCTTTAACATTGTGAGATAGGGATATTTGGTGGAACAATCAGTCCCTACTTCCCCAAAGGTTGGCAGTAGTGACTATTGACAGGCAAAGCACCGTACTCAAAAAGTCCGCAGGTATTTTACTGAAGACAAATACACAAATAAAGGCAACATTGCAGGTTTATTAGCAGGATCAGTTGAAAATGTATGAATGGCAATGTTTTACTACAGGTGTGCCTCATGCCAAGGAGCAATTCATTTAAAGTTAGTAATGGATCATGTGCGAGGTTTAGCTATAGGTGTAAGTCACAATTTGGGGCAAAATGTGCTGTGTGGCGGAGGTCTGCGCTCTCAGAATGCTTTTCTAGGGTTTACATATCTTATTATATTCTTGATACCATGCACAGTAAAGTAATATAGAAATATGCTTATAAATATCAACAAATAAGGTGAATGTTAAGAGGTTAATACCACGATTGACTCTTGTTAGTATTAAATGTTTGTTTAATTCTTTTTGCTCTGCTTCAGTTTGCATATTCTTCTCCTTTTGTTATGTGAAGTAACAACTTCAACAGCTTTGTCCTAAAGAAGGCGTCCAGGCAACTCTGCCTTCACAACTGCCTGCACTGGATAAAAAAGGCACTTTAAGTTGCAGTCCAGAACAACAGAGGAATTCCCCGAGTGCTGCCTTTGTGAGGCCAAATTCTAATTGATCACAGATTAAATGCTTCAGTGCCAAACGAATGGAAGCCTTTTTCTCCACCTGCCCCAGGAGGAGTCCCTTGAGCCTAGAATTGCTTGTGCATGTAAGTTAAGGGCGTATTTATGGTAGATATCCTTATCTGGCACCAGTAAAATATGAAAAACACGACCCAAAAACAACCAAACACAGTAAGGCAATGAACCCTACGCCCTATAGTTCCATGAGTCAGACTTGACCCTGGGTGGCTTCCTACTCTGCTTTTCTACCTCATCTTTCAATCCTCTTTTCATTATCGTCTTTAAAATCATGCATTTAAAAAAACAAAACAAAAAAGAAAATAATAAATGTGCTTCTGCATTCAATGTAGTAAAGGTTATTCCTCAAGGCCAAAATGGTTCTGCTAAAGAATTACTTGTTTTTGTTTGTGTCACCTAGAATTGGCTCAACAAGGTGGACAGTAAAGTGAATGACATTTAGTGCTAAACTAAAGGAGTCAACATATTGATATTATTATTATCTACCATGTCAATGTAAAATATAACAGCTTTGGTGAGTAATTTTGTTTTCCCAATGGTAATATGAACCTAATGTCAATGTCTGTGTTGATTTTGAGCTTCTTTAATTTAACTTTTTACCATCTTGCCTGCACAAATTAAAAATCTTGTTTTTTATCCAGTTTTGAAAAGCAGTTCCTGTAGATTAAAAAATGTGATTCAGATTCATTAGAAAATGCCACAACTTAGGCATCGAACAAATGTATGTTGTGAATTTGTTTTTGGCCCCATTTACTTTCACACCCTTAAAAAAAGATTTGATAGCCATCTGCCTTCTGAAGTCCCTCGATTGGTAAATAAAGATCGCCCATGTGTACTTCATCACAATATAAATACATAAAGGATTCAATACACCGAACACATTCATGAAGGCAAAGGATAACACGAGATAGATTACAGAGAAAGTAATTATGTTTTTTAATTTATGATCATTACATCTGACCTAATTTTTAAAAATTATGGAGTCAGACAGACACAAATCCAAAGTAATGTGCAAGCCGTGCTGTTTTCGGGGCTGACAAATACAAATATATAACTTGATTTCCAAATAACAAACTCCATCAAAGTAAACACTTTTGCAAAAATAATAAATAACTAACATAACAGTTGTGAAACCAGTACTTATCATAGGTAAAGTACAGTATATATGTTGAAACATGAGAAAGTACATCCAGTGGCAATCTTCTTGTTTATTAACTTAACCTTAAAATTGGAGATCAGACCTGGGAAATTGAAAATAACACACACAAAAAAAATAATAAAGTTTGCGATCAAACAAGAAGTCAGGCAAAAACTGCTTGTCTGTCCCTGCATTTTTTATTAAGGCAGCTTTATTCTCCATTAATTAAGGTTGCTTGATGAAAGTAGAGAGGCAAGAAATTGTGCACAAGTAAGAATAGCCACTTCATTACTTTATTACCTAGGTAAATTATGAACATGAAACAAATTATTCAAATTTTACTAATCTAGGTTAAAAGTTGTTTTTTGTTAAGGAATTTTCCACAACAGAAAAGCGGACCGTAAGTTGTCCCATTTACTGTTTTGAATAATCATTGTAGTAAACAAAGCAAATGTAATAGAAGGACACTCTAGGTTAGGCAAGATAAATAGTAAATAGCCTGTACTTATATAGCGCTTCTTCAAGTCAGAAGACTTGATCAAAGTGCTTTACACTACATCCAGTCATTCACCCATTCACTCAAACACTAAGGCTCTGGAATTCACTGACAGAAGGGAGGCTGCCGTACACTGGTGCCACCGGGCCCTCTGACCACCATTAGTGGGCAATGCAGGTGAAGCATCTTGCCCAAGGACACGATGAAACTGAAAGCCGGAGCTGGTGCTCGCTCCGACAACCCTCCAATTGCAGGGCAAACTCCTGCAACCGAAACCACTGTCGCCTGACAAGACAAAAATTCTATGGAATATAGCCTACATAAAAAAGAAAACCTAAAACTTCATATCATCCTAAAGCTATAAAAGAAAAGTGGTTTGAAGCTGCTGAAGACATGAGACCAGAATAGAGCTCCATCCTTCAGCGGGACAACACTCCAACATCAGAGCTACAGAGAAAGGGTTGAGACCAGAACATACTCAAGTGTTGGAACAGCCCATTTTAAGCCCAAACACAAATCTCTGGTAAGAATTGGCAATTGTTGATATTCACAGACAATCTCCATCCTACATGACTGAATACATTTTTAGGTTATTATTTTTAATCTAGAAAAGCAGGTAAAGACACAACAACAAAATGTGGTTCCGCAACAGAGGAGTCAGAAGGTGTCTTGATACAAATTATTGTCTCACTTTCATCACTTAGAATTATGAAACACAAAATTATGCACTACGTTATGTTAGTATGATGCATGAAATCCGGATGAATTGCATTGAATTGTGGTTTAAACCTGACAAAATGTGAAAAACGTTAGAAGTTAATACGTACTTTCCCAAGGCAAGCCACTGTGCAACATGAAGTCATCTGTTTTCAAAAATCTGAACCTGTCTGTTTTTGTTTGGTTGCATGCCTACCAACAAGCTGTTTTGGCTGTCTGGCTACCGTTGCGGCTGTATGTCTGTTTTGATTTGTATCACTCCATTTGGTCACCAAGTTCATCTGTGCCATTCCCAAATGGCCGACACCCTCCCAGGCCCTCCCCCCTTTCACACAGCTTCATGTCTCTTACACCCAGCGGCTACTGCGAGGCTCTGCTGCGGTGAAGAGAGATCCTTCAGCTCTCCCATAATTAGATACAAAGTCAAAAACAAAAGGATTACTGCTTCTGTGTAGCATGCTTTCAGATACAGGTCATAACAGCATCTGGAAAAAAAAAAGCCAAACCTTGTGATACCTTTTTAAAAACCTTCAAAGTCAATGCAAACTTTAAAGACACTATCCAGCATATTGAATTGGACATCACAAAGCCACACATCTGTGTTAAATTTTCTAATGTCTCATTTAAAGTCGCATGTGCTGCTATTTCAGATTTACAAGCAGCTTAAGGCAGCTCACCATCATATGGCGCTCTAACATGCGAGTGATGAGGCCTTACCTGGAATGCAAGCAGAAAATGGTCCTTCATTTGAAAGAAGGGAGTGCACTGCTGTGGTTTCTTAAGATGACGAAATATGATCCATCTGGGCCAGGCTGAGCTCCCCATCTTTGTGCTTTAAGAAGCAAGAGACAACAAGCAAGTTCAAAGATATTTGGTATAGTTTTGAACAGACAGAAAGGTATTGTCCTGTGACTTTAACATTTTCTGATTTATAGGCAAGTATTTTGTTGCCCATTGATTCATTTAAAACTTCTTGTTTCGAAGGTTTTCCTTAGCAAATGCAGCATTTCCTTCAGAAGTAGAGAAATAATTGCCCCATAACTTAGCATCTCTTTATCAGTTTACTGACCACTAAGTAAATTCTTGTTCCTTCTTTGGCATCTTCTCCTTTTTAAGAAGCAAGCGAATGTATCTTGAATAAAAAATAAAAAAAATCTCATGAGGTTATGGCGACAGGCCCAAAAGTACAGTCTAGTGATCTTTAAGCCATTTCATAATCCATTATACTTCAAGACTCTATTCTCCAGAGGGTCATAAGTTAGAAAAAAAACATTAAGAAAAGTATGACATAATTATTTACCGTATTTTTCTTGCAAAGACTTCATTGTAAACTGTGCCTGTGTTACTATTTTGACAACAAAGGGGTCTTGCTAGCTCTCCCATGTTAAAAAAACGCTCCACCGAGGACGCCATCTCTGGTAATCTCCACCTGAGCCTAGAACACCTGGAGAAGAAGAACACCCATGTGCAGATGCTGTTCCTGGACTTAGGTTTAGTTTTAACCATCATCATCCCACAGCATCTGATGGACAAACTGAAACAGCTGGGCTTCAATACACCCCTCCGCAATTTGCTGCTAGACTTCCTCAACAACAGACCTCAGTCGGTCCGGGTCGGACAGAACACCTCTGATGTCATCATCCTAAGCACAGGCTCCCCTCAGGGCTGTGTCCTGAGCCCCCGGCTGTTCACCCTGATGACACATGACTGTGTCCCCAGGTGCACAATCAATCACATTGTGAAGTTTGCAGACGACACCATGGTGGTGGGCCTCATTAGTGACGACAACGATCAGAACTACAGAGAGGAGGTGGAGCAGCTGGTGGACTGGTGCAAAGATAACAGCCTGATCCTGAACGTGAAGAAGATGAAGGAGATCATCTTGGACTTCAAGAAGAACCAGCCTAACCACGCTCCATTGGTCAGCAACAGCTCAGCTGTAAAGGTTGTCAACAGCACCAAATGTATATACAAAATGACAAAATAAAATATGTCTAAGTCTCTAAGTCTCAACATTTGAAACTTGTATAAGAGTTTTGCTTTTATTGTGTTCTGGTAACTTGAACGGTTTAGCAGAGTAAAAAAAACATATACATTTTGGGGATTAAAACTTATGTAAGAAACAGAAAAGAAAACAGATGTGTCCGCTTTTGTAAGTGAAAACAGAGTGAACTGATGCTGTATTATCTTCTTGATGGGGCTTTCCGTTTAATAGCGGATTATTTTACTCCTTGCCACTCCTTGCCACAAGGGATTATAGATAAACTAGGAACTGGGCTTGGACATAACTGGTTAGAGTAGTGTATTTGACCTTATTTTAGGTTTCATATATGAAATTTTTGTGTCAATGTTACACACTCATGATGCAACAAAGTTTCATTATGTCACCACTCATACAGTCTCATTAGACCTGGGGGATAAGTGAGGTATAACTGTTTTTCCAGTGTGGTTTCCTCCATAATTTTGAATAAGAACCACTAGAAATTGGGCAAAACCTAGAAGAACCACAGTAAAATATGTGGTTACATTCTAGGCTGCTAGTTTTCCTTTTTTTTTCCATCTCCTACTACCCACCAAGCTCTACCCTGCCATCTCCTTCCTCTTCACCACCGCAATATACTGGTTTTCTCATCCTCAAAAAAGGCATATTGTTATGACAGTACAAAGAAGACTGAGCAGAGCACAGTCAGCCCAGAGTGGGTAAAAAGTTAGAGTGGAAGCGGACTATTTCTGTTAGAGGCTTTGTGGTATCTTTATTCCCCAAAACTACGCTCGGTAAGCACGGCGAGGTGCAGATGCAATCAGATAAGGACCAATGGCAGAGGAACCGTAGCGTCTGAAACTGGCAGGCAGGCTGGCCAGGAAATTGCATCATTAGTGTAAATTCAGCCACTATGCCAAAAAAGACCCCTCGGTTTTACTTGCAAAACAAGGCTATGTCAAATCACTCTTCCTCCTCCTCTTCTTCTTCTGCTCTTGTCCCTTGTCTGCACTCTTCACAATCCCACACCCTCCCCCATTTCAGCCCTTCACTCTGTCACATTTGTTAATTCTCTGCTCGAAAACATGCTCTGGAGCACACTCGCTAGCAAGTGTGCCCACACTGGCACGCGTGTACATTGTGTATCATAGTTAGTTTCTGCTGCATGTGTCCCACACGCCACTGGCTGCCAGCACAGAGCGGTATGACCTCCCACAGCCCTAAAGCGCTTTGTGTGTGAACATGTATATATGTGCTTGCAAGTATCTTTGTGTGGAAGGCAGGGGGGAGGGGGGAGGGTTTAAGCAGACGGGTAATGGGGGTTGTCACACAAGGGAATCGGGGATTGACGGTAGTCTTCTTCTGCATGCCCTACAAAGAGGAAACGGGGCTGTTATGAACAACATTCATTCCCACCACCTCAAATTCGAAGTCTGTAAGTTATAGAGCTACAAAAGGCTAATGGGGTTTTTTTTGTTTTTTTTTTTAATTACAATAGACACCATGAGTCTGAAGCTTCTTTAGTAGCATCGGTATCTCGCAACCAATGTTGATATATTTTGAATTGATCTGAATATTACACTGAGTGGTGATTAACTCATAAAATCTTCTCATCCTCCCACTGTCATTAGAGCAAAATTCTTATATATTCCACAAATTATTAGATGCAAGCTATTTGTACTTCAACAAACCCGAAAGCATATTTCCCATCTCGATCAAAATATTTATTTTATATTGACAGGCTTAAAGGTTTAATCAAATCCAGTCAAAACGATTTCCAAGAGCACATCTGACAACTTCAAAAGAAACCTCTTATCACAGGCATGTATGAAGAGATGCTGAGTTTGGAAGTAGAGAACAAACATAGTTCATACGATCCTAATTATCCCTGTTAAAAAAATCCACAACAAAAAGAAAATATTTGGGCAGAAACTGCACTTATGCTGGATGCTGAAGGGGATTTTTTTAATATGTCATATAAAATCAAGCATTCATCTCCGCATGTTTTGCTCCTACGCGTTTAATAATAATAATGTCGCGCATGCTCTCCTCGGGCTCTGAGGAAGTTGGAGCGGAGCAAGACAGGAGGAATCGCGGAGGCTGTTGGCTTTGCTTTGTGCAGGTGGTCTGGAGTAGAACGGAGCGTGACGGAGGATGTGCGATTTCGGGATAAGTCAGATGTATTGAGGCAGGGAAATACCTAAAACATGCAAGGCAGTGGGTCCTGAGGAATTTGAAACCCACTGGTTTAGTGTGTTTGGTCGTCCCACAACATTTGATTTGCAATTGCACCAAAATAGAGCTGAAAAATATGGTACCTTTAAAGTTTGTGTTTAACCTTCAATGTGCACCTGTTTAGTGTGTTTCTACCCGCATGAAAAGGTGAGATTCAGTTTTCTATTTTTGTTGCGCTGGGTGTGGCGGTTTATCAATTGTTAGGATGTGCAAACTGATTTTATTATCTATAAGCAGTATGAGAGTGGCCATAAAAGAAAGAAAAGGTTTTAAGCCATGTAGTTAGAGATAATGATCATAATTATAAAAAAAAAAATGAAAGTTATATTTTATTAAATCAAATGGGAATGAAAAAAATCCTATTCTGAATTGTAAATAGTCCACCTTAAGAGCTATAATAGAAAAAAAACTGCCTGCTAGATGCAATCCTGGCTACCCTGTATAATGAGACAGGGTCATCAGGAGGACAAAAGCCAAAATGGTGGCAGGAGGTGTATATGTCATCATCAAAGGAAGAAGGCGAGTGCGTTGGTGGGTGGGCAGACTGGATTGTGATCCTGTCAGAGAAGGGGTGGGGGTGGTGCTGATATGAATAATACCATACAGAAATTAAATAGTTATTTTTTACACCCACACTGGCAAACTGGAAAAATTGTAGGAGGAAGAAGATTTAAAGACAGAGAGAGAGAGACCAAAATATCAGGAGACACTTTAATCTGAAGCATGCCAATTTTTCTAGGATCCTAAAACAGCCTTAGAGGGATGTAACATTTCAAGCTAGCTTGTTGGTAGACTTATGAAGTATTGTTAAGATCACTTGTGTTTATTCTTTCTATTTAACATCCCAATGCATAAATCCAAGGAAATCTGTTTTTCCTTCAGTGAACTTTGCATGGATATAAACAGGACTGTAAAAAAACAAACACGAAAAAAACAACCAAAGTTTGAATGAGAGCAGTTCCCTCCACAAAAAAAGAGTAACATCAAAATGAGCCAACACAGCAGGACGCCAGGGGAATGCCACTGCAGGCTCCTCACTAAGATGTAGGCTCTGCAACACGCTTAGCAGGGCTTTTTTGGTGTCCTGGTGAGACATTACAGTTTGTGGGTGTGTAGTCTGCTTGAGGATTGAAGTATTCATTCCTCACACTGCCTATCTCCTTCATTTTAGCTACAGTAACTAAAAATTGCTTATTTTTGACATTAGGGTTGCTGTATTCTATTTGTGTTAAGTGGATGTGTTTAGGCAGCATGAATGGGGGTTATAAGCTTTGCAGAAATTCAAATGATGTTACCTACATATTCATGTGGTTTATTATTATCTTGCACCATTTTTTCACATAGTACTAGGAAACACATGCACATACACAGCTTTGTTTTCATGAAATATTGGGACCTTTTATTGACTCTATATGGCCTAACCCAGACTACTACCAACATAAATCTAATCCTGATCTTAACCTAAACTGAATTTACACCATATTTCTAAACTTAAGCCCAATTCAAAGAAGAGAACTTTACCATCCCTATCTCAGAATGTAAAGAAAAAGGCTACTTTTACATTTGTAGCACTGTGCTACATATTTCCATTCAATCATCTCTGTTTTACAGAAGAT